TATATCATCTTTGAACTTAATTTTACAGAGGAAATTAGAATTTCAAGACAATTCGAATTCTGCCAAGCAGTATTGTTTGTGCAAATTTCATGTACTTTACAAATTTGATTGATGCATGAACCATCATCAATATGCATCTCTTGCACATATAAGTCAATTTAAGGCCATATGCAGCAAATTTGTCCCTCAACTTGTTAAGTTCTTGTGTCTTTTCTAAGGTTACAGCATTAGTCTTTCTTGTTTCAAAAAATTTAGGAGTGGGTTCACATGGTGACATAGTCCCACGATCGGAGCTAAAGAAGATCAATAGTTTACTTTTTATTCCGAATATGAAATTAAAATTCAAATGGAAAATAAAAGGAATGTAAATAGTCTTTCTTTTTCTGGTGTTGTTTGACTATTTTATATTTAATTAAATATAATAAATAACAAGCATTTTTTTTCTTTTTCGCACCTAAAGAAAGGGAATAAAAAAATAAAAATTGAACATAGTTCTTCCCCAATCAAGTTGTTAACATAAGACAAATAAGACTCTTTCACGATACTTTATGCCATAGTTAATTTCCCATACAGATAAGGTTAGACAATGAAAAGTTTACATAATTTTCATATTGCTCTTTGGAGCTAATAATACTGTAGTTTTCTAATTCTTCCTCCCTCGCTCGTTTCCTCTTCTATACAACTAATTACTACTTGAAAAAGACACGTTAGGTTCGATTAGTCATCATAGCTGCAGGAAACTCAAATACAGTAAACTGACATTTACGCAAAATACTAAAGTATCATTTTAAGACAAAATATTTCAAAATTCAATAAATCACTCTGTAAAACAAAATCATAAATTACCCTAATGTAATGGCAAAAAAAAGGAACTAAAAAAAAAACAAAGAGAGAGAGAGAGGGGGGGAGGGGGGTTTAGAGTGACAGTAGTAGCCGAGGGTGGAGGCTCAGCGTCTGAGACTTGGTGGCAACAGCTCGACGTTTAATCATGTCGGAGGTGCTGAGATTGCCGTGCTCAACAGCTGCCGGAGTTCCTTTGAATAATACTTCGATTTGGGAAAACCAAATGGGGAGAGAGAGAGAGAGAGAGAGAACGTGAAATGATGGGAGGAACAATAATGGAAGAGAGAAAGGCTGATTTGGTTTTCAAATTTCTCATCTAGTCATGTCTCATTAATGAAAGATATACAAGGTATTGAAATTATTAGGAGGGCTAGAAATGTCCAAAAATCTCCAAAAATGACAATTTCGTAATCTTTTAAAAAATGACATTTTTGTAAATGCAAACCCAAATTTTGACATATAGTGTAATTTCCACTTAATATATTATCAAATTAAGTAACAGATGTGGAGTGGTTGAGTTCTATTTTTTGAATAATTAATAATCATATAACTCTATATATATCTGAAGGCACAAAATATTGGCTATCAGACAATCAGTTGCTGAGTAAACTATCTAGCACGACTTATTATTTCAAGAAAAGCTTACCATTGATGATGGCGAAGAGAAGATCTTTCCAAGAGATTCCCTATTATTTTCTCGGAGAACCCCTCTTGCCACACTGTCTTCGGCTACTTCCATCAAGTCTTTGCTGTTTCCAAGGTGCACAACATAGATCTCAGGCATTTTAATCCTGCATCACAAAAATTAAAGAAACATAGTCCATATAGGTCCTCATTGTAAACTAGTAGCAGAAACTGCAAGAGAGTAAGTTAATTTGAAATATTTTAATGGTCGATTGCCACGATGAAAGAGAGAGAGAGAGAGAGAGAGAGGGACCAACTCCATTGCACTCTTACTAATCCAGTAAACCAGATTACAATGTTAAATCTAAAAACTATCTAACCACTATCTTGCTACATTCTCCTTTCGAGAATAAATTCAAGATGACGAGCATATCATCATTCGAATTTTTATATGATAGAGAAGGAAGAATTCACAGCAACAGTTTTCCAGTATCTGGGTGATCTATACTGAATCGCAATAGATGTTAGATTAGGGAAGTAATGTAATAATTTTTACGAAGAAGACCGGTTGGTAAGTCTCATCGGGGGAAGACAAACCAACAAGCTCATCTTAATGCATAATTGTAACTGTCGACTATAGAATACCCACAGAAGCTCAGATAAAATTTCTAAATAAAGGCTTAACATTATGAATGCCTAAAGAACATAAATTGGCAAGATTACAACTGAATATTACAACATACAAGAAGAGTAATCTTTTCACTAGATGCTGCATTGCCAACTGCATTTCATTAACTTTAAGATAGCAACTCATATGAAAAGTCAAAAATTGTGGGAAAAAAATGAAAAAGGATCAGGACAAATGTATGCAATAATCTTATCAATGAGAAAGCCTAAAGACAACACTGTTAACATTGATGAATAAAATTGTACCCTACATAAATAAAGAATGTTAAAGGATGAAAACATAGAACATAGAACTTCATACTATATAGGAGATTTAGAGGAAACATTATACCCTAGACGCTCACTAGTCCGATTCCTCCAGTACTCTGCAGTTATGTGGGAATCAATCATGGCACCTGCAACAAAAGTGAGGTGCTTAACATACTCCAGTTTAAAGTAATGACCTCGCATTTCATGAAACCACCACAACACCTTTGGTAGTAGTAGTACACGAGGCACATTTTCTTTTAGGACGGCATCAACCACTTCCCAGCAACTGCAGTGTTTAAAATGACTAGATCAGCTTTAAGTGCGATATCAACAGCTTCCTGACCCTTTGCCATGAAAATCTGAATGAATAGAAAGAAACCACAATACAACATCATTACCATAATAGCAAACGTTGTCCAATTGAAAGAATCTTTCATGTTTCTTGAATAAACAAGATCATTGTTTTAAGATTTGGACCTTATAGTACCTGTACTCCTCTGTCCTTCATCTTCTGTTCCAAACTGTAAATCACTTCATCTGGTTCATTAGGCATCTGATAGGTCATCCAAACAACTTCCGTGCCAACGCCTATTAGGAGAAAAGCAAGTTCCATTAACAATAATGGTCCACCTGCAAAAAAAGGTTCTTTGTGAATGCTTTTGAGATAAAATAAAAAGAACTGATGTATCTGATTAGTTTAACCCAGATAAATTTGGAGAAAAAAGTCCAAAAATTACTCATACAATTAAAATAAATGGCATTAAAGACCTTTCACAGAATAAAACTATCTTCAGATGAAACCATAATGAAGCCTCGTATCAATAATGAATCAGTGGACAGATTTCCCAACTGCCAGACCATTACTACAACTATCAATCTTTCAAAAGATATTCATGCATTATGGGCATCATTGCAACAATTTAATCACTTTCAGGTTAATGGTCGAAAATAAATCCAAACTTAAGTTCAAGAAAATAATTATTTAGAGAAAATAAATCTAAACTCAAATTCTTTAAATAATAAACCTTTTGATACTAAACTGTCTACAGCTCATCTGTAATAGAGGAAGAGCATTATTAAGAGACTTTTTAAATATCTGCCTTTCAACCCTTAAAAATCATGCTATTAATATTTTAATTTAGAGAGCAAAGTTCCTACCTTTTAATTTTTTCAAGGGAGGAAAGAAAGAGAAAAATAATAAATATTTTTTAAGACTATTAATTAAGTGTCAGAGTTTGTCAGAATATTTTATAATTTAAACTCATTAAATTAAGATAGTCTTCAAATGAAATAATATGTCGTTTAAAAATAGAGAGAATGGAAGATGCTCTGACAACTAGAAGCACTATTCTCCATCATAATTCCAAATAATTAATAACTAGAGTCAAAATTAAATCATCTAGAGAGAGAAAGCTCGTGTGAAACCAAAAGGACAAGCTTTGATATCATGGAAGTGAATGGATTTTCAGTTTCTGCAATTTTTGAGTGGAATTGATTGGTATCGTCCATGAAACGTTGGGAATTGCAGGATCCATCGAACGAAGCTCTGATGAAGAAGGCAATTATAGTGGAGAGTGTGATGCGAAGAAGAATTATTGATGGCCATTTATTGCGAACTGAAATCCACCCCGTCGAATGCTTTGCCATTGTTTTTGTATGTAAAGCTGTAGCATTACTTTGCATGAAATTTTGGAATTATTAGTCGAATCGAGTCCTCTAGAAAATTTAGGGTAAATAGCAAAATAGCCCCTAAAAGTTCAGTTCTAGCACTTTTAAGTATAGAGTGTGTGATCGCTTAAATTGTTCCACATTGCTAGGGATGGTAAATTAACCACCCTGTGTTGTCCCACCTATTTGGCGGGAATCCTAACCTAAGTAGGGCAGGAAAGGCATTATACCCTCCTCATCAATCCCCCTCGAGGGAGAGACGAGTGGAACATCTCAATCAACTACATCACTAACAATGACACATATAGGGTGGTCAGCATCAGCGATCTCATCTTCCGAGTTCCCAAACAAAGACAACCTTAAAAATCCTTCTTAACTTCGTCGAATGGTTTCACTCCCCCTTTTCTCCATTCTGTCAGCTAGTCGACTCCCGTACCGCAAAAGGATTGTTGAACTTCACAATTATTTATTGATATATGGATAATCTCCAAAATTATTAATAAAAAAAAACTTAATTGCGTCACATAAAAAGAATATGAAGAATAATATGATTTAAAAAAAAAATGCAAATGCAGAAACAAAAGGGACCCAAAATTAATCGGAGTCGTCACATTGTATGCTTTAAGATATAGAAGGCTTCCAACATGTTTAGCAAAGCTTAAAAGTTAGTAAAAACATACATTTCTCTGTCTTCTAACTTACGCACCAACTACATGCTCAATTTTTGTCTTCGCTCTTATGCATAAAGCCCTTTCCAATGTACCCTTTACTTTGCGCTTGCGCTAGGATTATCGAGTTAGAAGTGTAAAGTAAATTGGGCGGCTTTCCATATGGGCCAGGCCAGGTAACACCTACACAGTCATGGCCCGCCTTGTCCCGCCTATAGAGGGGGCCAGATAGTGACATCAGCCCCGTTGAAGACAAACAAATCATTTTAACACTTCACATTCTAAGCCTTAACACATCTAAGAAACATCAGATTGTGATCCAATACATAATTGAATTTAATTCAACAATTTTTACGTCCAAAATAACAATGACACCTGCCCACTTTGGCCTTCCTGCGATTTCCGAACATTGCTACTCATATACAACTGCACCAGCTTAATGCCTCTATTGGCATAATAGAGCATTTGAAATGAAAGGGCTGTTTTGGAAAGGGAAAATACACTATATTTTCCAACTTGCAGATTGCAGCAATGTGGCGCTAAAATCAGTTCTCAAGCTTTATCATCATGGAACCACCACCTTGTCTCCTTGGGAGATCTGCCATTCCCACAATTCTTCACGTAACGATCATTGTCTGCTGGACGTTGCTGCACGAACATAAAACTCAAATGATTAAAGTTTTGGATGCTGACAGAGAACCACACTTTGAGAACTTTAAAACTGAACAAACCTTTGCTGGTGAGCTTGATAACATGGATAGAATGCTGATGCAAACCGAACTAACAGTCATAGCTGGTGACCATGACTCGTATAAAATATCTGTAAGGATAGCAGATAGTGGACAAGAATTTTTAAACAAACTCCTTAAATAATGAAGGGAAGAACAGCAATAATTTTGCAGAATTAAATAGCGCTATGTTTTGCATGTGCGAGTGTATAACTCTAAAAGCCAATTCTTGACCAATTTAACAAAGTCTTACAACTCTTATCACATACATAGTATTATTAGGTCATGCTGATGCGGGTAATGTTCCATTTCTAAGATTAAATGACAGACCGGTTTTTCTTTTCTTTTTTTCTTTTTTTTTTTTTAAGCCATGTGGTTTTAGATAGGTAAATCTCTTCCTTTTCAGTTACCTAATCCATGTAATTCTAATTTAGAAAATCAATTGCAAGTCATCATGCGGAATAGCTTCCTGTAACAGTCAAAACTAAAATAATTCGACTGAGAGAGATCAAGATGCAATTCTCTCCACACCATCAGCCTGCTTGGACCAAAAATGTGAACCTCACTCTCTTTGTCCACTCACAAGATTATGCTACAAGCCTACAACATGCATAACATCTAATCCCCTGTTAAACGTGGGGCTAAACCCACAGAATAGATAGAAGATTAGACTAGAGGTAATTTCCTCAAACAATGGTATGTTTATTGCACATAAAACTAAATTATTCAGAAACAGCATGGATACAATGACTATTCTAAAAATTTCAACTAGGTCAGCAAGAAATACAAATAAGTCCTGGAAATGTCTTTTCTATATTTCTTTCTTCCTCTCCTTTTAAGCAAAGTATAGTAAACAGATGAAAAACAGCACAAGCTGAGTACACATGAGATGCAGAGCTCCTCACAAAAATAATCATAGCTAGGACCCAAGGCAAAAGGCTTTCCAGTAAGATATTTGCTAGGTAAACTAACAATGCTTATTGCACAAATCAAAATGGAATTATTGGTATCAATATTTACTTAGGTTTTTGATGGATCAGACGGCTCAGATTGTATGACAAGCGAGTTGCATATCTACAATATGCATGACCAACTGATTTTACCATTTGTATTCTTCAATTTTATCACATTTGCCTTGTATAAATAGCCCAAGGACAAAGCTCAAACAAGTATCTCAATTCATGCATAGCATAGAGAAATTCAAGAACAGGGGATTTAAGACAGTACGGATAGATACAAATAATTTGAACAGATAAAAACCATCAAAACTCTTAGCACTTTGTTGGTATTAAGGTAGTGGAATCATAATGCTTTGCCCTTGGGTTTGATGTGCCAAATTTTCCTTAAGAATTACTTACCCTCGCACATTCTCAATATCTATATGCAACAAAAATTGGGGTTGAGACAAATCAATAAGCGTGTCTCACAAGTAAAGAAGCTTTATTATTCACAGGCAAGCTGTCCCTTTGCACACTGATACAAGCACATATCTAATCTAGCCGTAATAATTAGTAAGTGAAACTTAGGTGGACAAAAGTTGCAAAAGATGACAGAAGCTAGCTCTGTGAAAGTAGTATACAGCTGATCCTTCTCTTATGTGTTGACACTAAATTTTTTTAACCACCCAGTGAAGTGTCCTCATAATACTCTGCTCCTCGATGAAATGGAAGTACACATCAAAGCCGTAAAAGCCACACTGCAATCTACCAATATCACATCTTGAATCTAGAGCTCGTTTGGAAGGGCTTCTGCTTTTGTTTCTACTTCTTGTAGAAGAGCTTAGTAAGCTCCCTTTGAAAGCTCTTCTAACCATACGAAGCACCTTCAAAACCCTGCCAAATGAGCCCATAATCTCCTATATCTGCCTAACCCATTTTTGCACTACTTCGACGAAATGAAGGTCCGCCAGAATTTTTTTTTCTCTAACAATTTTTATAGATAATTACTAGCAAGAACAATTTAACAATTTCTCATTCAGAGATCACCAGTCACCAATCACTAAGCCAAAGCCAAAGCTAGGTCAATATACGGAAGCAATAAACAAAACTAGCTTAGTATAGATAGAAATTGATCAAAGTAATTATAATGCAAAGAGAAACGAGAAACAGACCTAAACATATATGCCCATTGCTATAAATGTGAGGGTGAAGTGGAGCTGGAGGTATAAATATAACCTGCCCAAACAAACGCAGAAAATCACAATATCAAAAAACATAAATACTAATAGCAGTCAAACCCTATAAGAGTGATACCAATTACACTATCAAGTAGAAATTTCACTTCTCCATTGATCACAAAAAAGTAGAAATAAAATAATTAGAAAAATTCACCTGAGGGGCTTCCATAGGGTAATGCTCCGGAAAATCAACTTGAAGCTGGTACGTTTCACCGGCATAGAGCGTACCCGGAGCGCCGTTGACTTCAATTACCCATCTAAAACATCGAAATCAATTAATTATTAGCAGTATTCTCCAATCTCTAATCTATTAAACAAACTCAAATCAAAAATCAAAGAAATAAAGAATATTAAGAGGGAAAAGAAGAAAAAGAAACCTCTGGAGATTATCAGTAACTTTATGCTTGAAACCCGCGGGAGGATTCACCTGCCACTCCATCAGCTCTTTCTGTAGCCGATTACTCGCGATCTTGCTCAAAGACGCCTTTTTTTCACGTTTCAATTACACAAAAATAAATATAATAAAAAAAAATCTCGAATAAAATATGCAATCATGTATACATATATATTCTATAAAATTTAAAATATATGTGTGAAATTGAGACCTTGCGCGGAGAAGTGGAGCAGGAAGTCATGGCGTAAAAAATATTCGAGAGAGAGAGAGAGAGTGTGTGTACGAGGGAAGTGGTGATGTGGAGTTGTAGGGATGGTTTACGTAATTGATTGGACTTTTTATTCTTGGAGTAGAGTACGTTGGAAAATTTATGCCCACCGAGAAAATGGAGATGAAAATTAAGGAATAGAAATTCAAGAAGATGGAAATTAATAAGGAAAACAAACCAATATGTAAGGCTCAAACACGAAAATGATTCGTTGTCCTCAAACGATATTTGCCCCTTCTCGTATACAAATTTGGTGCTTAAAAGGTTTTATGGCAAATAGTTCGTAGGATTGATTAAGCCTTGTTGTAGAAAATCACAAAAGTACAAATGATTTTTCCACCCGAATCTTGAAGAACACTTGAAAAATATGAATATGGAGGGAAGAAAGTTTAATTCTTTCATGTGGATTTGTTTATATGTTTTTCACATACTTGTAATTAATTTTCAATGTCCATTAATCACTTATTTATAGACATTAAACATTTCAACACGAAAAGGTGCCAAAACGAAATGAAAAGCCGCCAAAATCATAATTGAAAAACTGCCAACGGCTATATTCCTTCTTCTATGCGGTCACATAGAAGGATCCTATGCGACCGCATAGGTTTCACAAAGGCAGGGTCATTAGGCCCTGTAGGTATCTATGCGGTCACATAGAAGGATCCTATGCGACCGCATAGGTTTGTATCTTGGCCTCCATTTTTTTTTTCTCACTTCATTCCATCTTTATTTCATTCCACACACCGGTTCTTATTATTGTTGAACAAATATACAACAATCCCCCACTTGTTCAACACTTAATAAGATCTCATATTCAAAGTATACGATACTCATGCATAAGGATTAGATATCTTTCGATTTGAATCTAACCATAGTATAATTCAAACAAAGTAAAGTCGGAATCAAAGGTAGCCGTAGCTTTGAACAAGTTATTCTATGTGACAATACCGGTCCAAACACACACACGAGTACCACGTGTTCTCAAATTCCTCATAACTTGCTTAGCGCTTTTATGGCCTTGCGCTCATCCTTTTCGACAAACTTTTAAGAGAGAAACTCCAACTCTCTATTGAGGCGGCACCACCTCGAAGTTAGTCTAGGTGAAGTTCTTCCAGTACCTTTGTTATTTTTAGAGGTACTTGTGTTTTACACTGAACTTCATTAAGAGCTTTTAATGCTCAACCCTCATTTCAGTAACAACCAGCATTATTTTACTTAGGATAGGGCTATTACGGATTTTAATAATGCTGAAACCATCCCACATATCGAATGACTTGTTTGTTACCCTTTGAACCCATGGATTACCCCTTTGAGTAAGCGATGAGTAGGGTTGCCGTCATTGGTGAACCTTTATAGTTTAGGAGTTTCATCTCCATCCTACTCGAAGTAGATGCCACTAAAGTTTTATTTAGTGGTCTAGTTGAATGATCCGCTAAATTCTCTTCCAAAATTATTTCACTTTTGATAATTTCCTTTTGACGTCACCTTTAAGACTTATATGTCTTTACTTTCATTTTATGTGACTTAGTATCTTATTAAATGTAGCTAGCCAACGATCGATCCATTTAATAGATACAATTTGTCACCATCAAGAAATCTTTTTGTGAAGCCATATGCTTCTCACTTGCTTTATTTAAAGCTTTATTTATATCCAAACATGATTTGAACATTTTTATCAAATCATTACACTTCTCAATCAATTTTATTGTGGATCTCATACTTGGGTATTCATATTTCACTATTGAAATATTACAGTGATCTTCAACTTATGAATACTTTTAAATATTCACATTGGTTTTGAAAGCGTCGTGATTGGCTTTAACCCAAATTATCCACTTAAATTTAATGATAATGTATCTCATCCTTATAATTATAATCATAAGGACTTTTCTACCTTTTCTTCCTTCATAGATATCTTTCTATGATTAATATGTAAATGATATGGTAACTTTTAAATTAAGTTATCCCCACAATTCCTCACTTAGAAATTTATATGCAATCATGTAATATTGCATTCATAAATATTGAACTTCTCATATAGGAACACAAGCATTTAAAGTTAATCTCCACATTTCGAGTTATACTCGAACTTAGAGTTCCTTAATATGTTAACCCCCGCATTCGGGATTAAACTCGAACTTAGAGTTTATTAACTCTTTTTGTAGTTCAATTTCTTATCACTTCAATAATGATCGTGAAAGTCTATGTTAATTCACAATGTACTTCAATCCACTATTTAATTTTTATCACACAATTTGATCAAGGTCGTCTCATAGACCTATCATACTTTTCAAGCATAAACTAACTCAATTTGGTTCCATGATTGAAGTCCAATTCAACAACGAATGAGATTAATTTCCAATCATTGGCAATTTATCACTTTCGTAACCTTCACAAGATAGCATCATATCATCTCAATGACATGGTCCATATTCGCCTTATTTACTTTTGGACAAAATCACATTTTGTCTCTTTTATATGCAAACACAATTTTGCATAAGATTATCTCACTTAATTTGTGGCTATCAATATTTCAATTAAACATGGAATCAATCATCTAGTTTATCAAATAATTCTCATATTCCAATAGAAAAAGTAGTCATGAAATTTCATGAGCTTTCAACAAATAGTAGGCATCCTTCCATATTTATGCACATCCTTTAGACCCATTAAATATTAATAGATTGATCTCAAAACACAAATATGGATGTACTTTACTTGCACTTTGAAGTTCATAAACCAACGAAATGGTAAAAGCATCGTGCAACAACGGAAACATGTGGGCTACCCAAGTGGGTTCGTGTATTATCCAAGCAAATGTGACAGCCTATATATTGGAATTAATCACCGAATAACAACCATGATCAAATATATCTTTAGCCACCACAATTGGTTTAAATTGCATTCTTTAAAATGTTATGCATAAAAGCTATTTCCAATTGTCACAGCAAAGTGAGAATAATCAATTAATTAAAATTGATTTCCACAATATCCTTTATACATGAAGGTTATTTAGAACATATTATAAATTTTGTCATACTAATATGCAAACACAATTTGTACTCTACAAAATATTTCCATGTCTTAGCAATTTCCAATAGAAACAATTCACGATTTGTCATACTTTATGCAGATATAATTGGCATAAAATCATCTCACTTAATATCATACGATTAAATGAGGCTATCAACATTAACTCAAGTTAATATGAGTTCAACAAGACATGAAATCAATCAAACAAATTTATCATGTCATTTTCAATTTCTAGTAGAAGAAATGATCATGAAAGTGCACATACTTTCTTTCATATAATTCTAACACATTAGAATTTTCCCATATGCAATATTATGATTTTCATTTCAGTAATTATGCAATCAAAAACCTCAACCCTTTAACTATATGGGTGAATGCCAAAATTATGCACCCTCAAGTGAACACGTGCGAATTAGAATTAATTTATTTCCAAATAAAGAACACACATTTTCCCTTAATTTGCAGTAAATTAGCAAAGTAGATCATAAATCACATAATCAATTATCATGCCATAAAATTGATCATAGAATATCTCATAATATTCTACACATCCACAAATAAGAGGCTTAATTAGCAAAGTTTTCACTTTGTACAGAATCACATAAGTCATTCAACTTTTCATGTTGACACCAAGTCAGTTTTTACCATAGTCCTTTAATTAGCCTATACCATTTCCATATATTTAATCATCACAGATTCATTTGTATAATAATTGACCAACTATTATGCAGCCATGCTTTATGAACGGTCACCAATGGCCGTAAACTGATGGAAGGAATAGGCAGATATATTCACATTAACGAATCCACCGTTTCATAAATTAATATACGTGCAAGCATTTGTTCATGCCTTATGGATAGAATATTCAGTTTTGCACAAAAACCCAATCAAAATTCCTTAGGCACAGAACATTTGTTGGATTTAAAAGGTGCCGGCAAATTATCACTGATAAACAAAACTGCCACCTTTACAAATGGTTTAGTTTGCAAAAGAATGAAAAGTCGCCACTTAATCAATTTAATAAACTGCCTTAAAACAATATCCACTTTTCATCTCCATTGGCGGCGAATTTGGACAATTATTCAAACAGAATATAGTATTTTGGACCAAAGAAAATTTAATGGCATATAAATACGGCAATCATTAAATTTGATCATTAATTATTCTAGGGTTATCATATGGCATCATAAATACCAGATGTTACAGGTTATTATCATATAACCTTTGGCCCCAAACATCATCATTATATGAATTTAAAATGTGCCAAAAATAAACTGCCAACATCAAAATTTGGGGACGCTCCGAATGCACACACACGCTGGAAACAAAATGCATTCCACATTTGTGAGCAAAGTTCTGGTCCGTTTTGTCCATGCAAATTATGCACACAGAAAGGTTCAAAAATCATGACCAATTATGCAAATATAGGCAGTCATGCACATTCAACCATAGAACCATCATATATCATTTATTGAATCAAATTATATAGCACTTATCTGGAGTTTGTCCGTTTGCGACAAATCAGATTCAATCTTTTCATTCTTCAATCGGAAACCTTTCTTTTCAAATGTTCCAGATTTCTTTGACAGAATTTGTCATATCAACCAATCCAAAACAAGATCTTGAATCATCAACTTGATCGTCGCCAAAGTGGTTTCATTCTCCATCGCCAAAAATATCGTTTGAGATTGTTGGAAAATTTATGCCCACCGAGAAAATGGAGATGAAAATTAAGGAATAGAAATTCAAGAAGATGGAAATTAATAAGGAAAACAAACCAATATGGAAGGCTCAAACACGAAAATGATTCGTTGTCCTCAAACGATATTTGCCCCTTCTCGTATACAAATTTGGTGCTTAAAAGGTTTTATGGCAAATAGTTCGTAGGATTGATCAAGCCTTGTTGTAGAAAAGCACAAATGATTTTTCCACCCGAATCTTGAAGAACACTTGAAAAACATGAATATGGAGGGAAGAAAGTTTAATTCTTTAATGTGGATTTGTTTATATGTTTTTCACTTACTTGTAATTAATTTTCAATGTCCATTAATCACTTATTTATAG